CTGGGCCGGGCACACGCAGCCCGGTGCCCAGGGCGCCGGCTCCTCTTCTGCGGGGCACGGCAGCTCCCGGCTTCGGGGCACCAAGAGGCACATGTACGAGGCAGCTTGTTCCTGGGGTTCTTCTTCGCTCGTGTGGCTCCCACTGTCTTTGCTCACTTCCATTGGGCATCCAGCTGTGCTCATGACCCTCCTGCCCTGCTAACACCCTCCAGGCCCGGTCAGATGTGGAGGTTCGGCACCTTCCTCTGCTGAGCCCTTCTCAGGTAGGACTCTTCTCTGTTCTGCAAAGTCATCCCCTTCTGGACACTGACTTCCTCAGTTTCTCACTGTTGAATAAGTTCTAATCCGTATAAGAAAAACCCTTATTCCATATCTCTCATAAAGTTCTGCTTCCCTGATTATGCTCAACTGATGTAATCTTTAAATCATTTAGTTGGATATTATGGTAAAGAACATGATGCAGGGCAAAGAATAATAAAAATGCTCCTTTATGAAAGGGTATAACCTGTCAAGGTTACTCAGAGTCCGGTGAGTTTCTTTAGTATAGACTTTGGTTGGTCCCAGTCCATCTTCTTGGTGAACTTCCTAATGTATGCAGGCGATGTTTGGTAGTACAGAAACTTCTGTACTTAAAATGACTCACATTCTTCTTTTTTAATGTGCAAGTTATTAGTAAACTCAGATGGGTCCTCAGGCTAACACATACTTGCAAATAATATAAAAGGTGACATTAACATTTTTAGGAATTGATGATGTAACTGTAGTTCTTGTTACACTATTAAACTAGAACCTTACAAAGACTGGGGTGATGCTCACCTTTGCATTGTGTAGTTCCTGACACATAACAGGAACGGTGTAAATATTCCCAGAGTACTAGTTAAGGAAAACAGAGATGACTAAAAGGCAAGTTCATGGCAGATGTATTTCAAGGGTATTTTAGTTCCAGAACCAAAAATGACTTCTTTTGGAAGAACACAAGACTTTCACTTATTTTGTCGGAGGACCTAAGTACAGAATTATAGAGGGGCCTGGATGTTTTACAAAAAGTAGAAAAGAGCTACACAAAGGGTGAGTCATTTATTGTTACTGATTGTCATCTTATCCAATGAAACTATGCCAGGTACAAAGGTGCCTGAGCCCAGCACTGATGTTTTTATACAGGGTGCTTCTTAGTTTCATAACAGAAACAGTGATAGTACCTGTAAACTATGATGTTTTAAAAGTTTTAAAAACCTTTTTAAAGTGAATAAACAGTATCAAATATTGGCAAGGATGTGGGTTAACAAGAACTTTCATATACTGCTTTACAGGAGAATTATGTGGCAGTACCTACTAAATTAGCTGAATATGTACATACCCTACAACCCCACAATTCCACCCCTAGGCAGACACCCAGCAGAATGTATATGTATGTTTACAAAAGGACACATTCTGCAACATTCACAGCAGCACTAATTTGTAGTTATCTCCAACTTGGAAGCTACTTACTGCCCACAAAGAGTAGAATGAATAAATTAATTGTGATCTATTCATACGAGGGGCTTCCCAGGTGGCGCAAGGGGTGAAGAACCTGCCTTCAATGCAGGGGACATAAGAGACACAGGTTCAATCCCTGGGTCGGGAAGATCCCCTGGAGGCGGGCATGGCAACCCACTCCTGTATTCTTGCCTGGAGAATCTCATGGACAGAGGAGCCTGGTGGGCTGCAGTCCATAGGGTTGCACAGATTCAGACACAACTGAAGTGACTTAGCATGCCTGCGTGCATGCATACAAGGGGATACACAAAAGTTTAAAAATGTTAGAGAAATAGGAAGAGTCACCTATGGTGTTAAAAATAAACACAGGAAATTACTCTGGGGTGAGGGTTGGTGAAAAGGATCCTAGGAAAATGCTTGGGATCCTGGTTTTTCAATCTGGGTGCTAGTTCCGTAGATGTGTTCAGTTTGTGAAAAGTCATACTTAGGATCTGTGTCCTCTGAATATTATACTTCAGTAAGAATTTTTTCTAAGATTGAAAGTCTTTTGTTACAGTTGTCTTGGTCAACAATCAAAAATCCATTTTCACTGACTTAGAGGTCAAAAAAGTCCTTTAAAAACTGACCTTCTGAAGGCAATCTCTCTATTTCTTCTGATGCCAACTGTAGCTCACCCATCAAGGCATAAAGGAGTAAAAATGTATTTTTCTCCACCAAGATATCCATTAATCCACAGTTGGGGGTTTTACGCCCCATAAATATGATGACATAAGTTCTATTAATCTTTTTCAGCATCACAGCCACTGCCCCTGAAGAGGGTTACGCAGCAAAGCAGGTTTGGAATATCTGTGGCCGACCTCCATTTTTCATGA